ACAGGAGGCTCTGAGCACCTGGAAATCCTTCCCCTCCAGTGGAAATAGATGCTGTGGGACTCAGGACAGTTAGTTGGGATGTCCTGAGAGCTCTGGCCCGTGTTTTATGAGCTCAGCAGGTCCCGATAAGCACCATGTGTGTCCAATGCCTTATCACTGCTGTCAGAGGCTCTGCAAGCTCAAATGGAACCTTTTGAGAGCAAGGTGGCAGCAGGAGTGGTTTAATCCTTGAATTTTTAACAGAAGGAGGGCTATGATGGCTTTGGGCAGCAAAACCCTGCATACCTCACCTGCAGCTCCGAGATGATGCACCTCACAGAGTGTCTCCTGATGTTACAGTGGGAGCACTTCTATAAAGCAGTGTGAGTGAAACTGGAAACAGCAACAGCAGCAATTGGTAGAACATCTGATTTTATATATGTCTCCTATATAAAAGTGAGCCCTGCACCTCTCCCCAGCCACCCACAGCTCCCCCTTGGAGCATCTCATTTCTGAGCTGTGCCCAGCTGTGGTGGGATGCATTCAATGGCATTTCCCAGGTGTTTCTTTTACCTTTTGCAGCCTCCTCTCTCTTGCCTGCCCCTTACAGCTCTCTACTGTGGCTGTGGGGTGATGAAAACCTTCCTCAGAGCCTGGGCTGCTCTCTCTGGGTCTTGATCTGGTCCTGCTCTGGCAGACAGAGCAAAGAGCAGGCTCAGCTCTGGGTCTGCTGCAGGGATCTGCACTTCAGTGCTTTGTTTAAACCTGAGGGCTCTGGGCTTGGCTCAGCAGTGCCACATCTCTAAAAGGATTTCAAAGAATCACAGAATGGTTTGGGTTGGAAGGGACCTTCAAGACCATCTCATTCCAGCCCCCTACCACGGGGTCCATGTGAGTCCACTGGCCAGGGGCACACCCCCCCCGGTGTGTGGGTTCACACTTGGGGTGCAGTGCACTGGGGTCACCTCAAGGAAAGGGAGATGTTGAGCATAACATCAGGCCTGAGCTGCCTGCAAAGCTGCTGTGAGCAGATGCAAATCCCTCCTTGGGGTTTGCCTCCCAGCACATTTTCCCACAAACAGGAAAAGTTCTCCTCTTTGCCCTGAGCCGTTTCTAGTGAGGGAGCAATGCTTCAGGCTGAACCAGTCCCGCTTCAGGGGGCACAGGGGGAGGATGTGAGACCTGCTGGGCTCTGCAGCCCCCACACGCCCCCCACCCTGCAGAATGCAGGTGGTGGGTGGATCTATGCACATTCAGGGGCTTTGGCTTCAGCTCCAGCCGTGTCCCCAGCCCCGTTCCCTGCTGCCAGGACAGGTGACGAGTGCACGGGCGTGTCTGCTCCATCCCAGACCTGAGGGGAAGGGGCTGCAGGCACTGAGAAGAAAATACTTCCTGGTGGTAAAAAAAAGAGGGATTTTTGGTTCTCCAAACCTTAGTCTTCCTACCAGCAGCTTATGCAATGCGTGGAGAGAATCTGGACCTCCCCACCTGGCCTTTGGGTGAGCTCCCAGCCATGGCCGTGCCTCTTCCCCGAGCGCTTTCACTCCAGGACCTGCTGTGGTTTCCTTCCCCTGTGCTCTCGTCCGGAGCACGTGCCTGCTCCTCAGTGCCAGAAGAGTTTTGCATCCCCTACGTCTTCCTTCCTGCTTTCTTGGAAACAAGTTTTTAATACCCCACTGCCTTCTTCAGCTGCAATGCAGAGCGTGGGCTGGATTTGTGTAACCCAGCCCTGCTGCATGAAACAATCCTGCTGGGGAGTGCAAATGCAGAGAGTGAGTAATAGCTCTCCTAACCTTAAGCAAATTGTTAGCCCTGACTCAATATCCTTCATAATGAAGTCTGCACTGGACTTTTAATGTGAAAAAGCCTTACCTAACAAATACGACAGTGAAGGTGAATTCCCCGTGGTGTACAACTGGTTGCTAATACTGGAATCAGTGCTGTTGTCATCATTATTTTTTTTAAAATACCTTTTTATTTTAATTTAAGCTTGGAAGTGTGATTAAAAGTTTGGTTGGTTTTTTTTCTTTTTGTTTTGGTTTATGTTTTGATTTGTTTTTTTTCCACATTGTAACATTAATTTATGGCTGAGTTTCATTCAGTCCTGTGTTCAGAAGTGCAGTACAGGTAGTAGTGATGTGTTGTCTGTAACATGGCTCTATAGAGTAGTTACAAATTTGTAAGAAAAACAACAAAATGGAAAGAAAAACAAACAAACAAACAACAAACAAACAAAAAAACACAAAAAAAGAAAATCTGAAAAAATGTAAATGGAGTATTTTGTGGTATGTACAACACAAATTAATTTTACACAGAGAAAGATGTTTCTAGGAAAATGAAATTCTGATAATTCATACTATTTGTATGAACAAATAAAAGCTCTATTTTACGAAGCCATGGGCATAGCCATGTTCATTCAGAGGGACCTCCCCACGTGGTTCAGGGGTGCTGCCACCCAGA